AACGTTCTTTTTTTGAATAAACGTACCTTTTTTCAACCGAATTAGATTTCTGGCCCCCGAAATATAGAGGGTAGCCGCAATCTGGAAGATGTGCTCGAAAGGGAGCGTTCGAAAGTTTGGACCCCTTAATGATAATTTTACTTTTTGCGCATTTCGCCACATCTCGAGAACTTTTTTAGCGAATTGAAAAAATTTTTGCACACAATTATAAAATTCGTTTACCCAAAGATAATTTTGCCCGAAAAATAATTTTAAGGAATTATTCAATATTTTAAATTATTTTATTTAATAAGAATCGGAAATTTTCTTGAATTCTAAAGTATACAATATGCGTCATTTTATGGCATGTAATTTTACATTGTCGAATACAAAATTTGTGCAAAATCGGTTAAATAGTTCCTGAAAAATCGAAATTTAAAAAAGTCGTATATTTAAAATTCGATTTCTCAGGAACTAGTCAACCGATTTTGTTCAAATTTTGTGTTTTGCCATGTAAAATTACATGCTTTAAAATGACGCAAGAAACGTTTAAAATGACCTCACAGTTCAAAATTTTTTATCGACTACTTTAAAATAAAATAATAAATATTTACTAATTTTTTTATTTCTTCTACAAGAAATTATTTTTAGATAAGCAAATTTTATAATTGTGTACAAAACCTTCTTAATTCGCTTAAAAAGTTCTTGAGATATGGCGAAATACGCACAAAGATAAAATCATTAAGTATTCCAAACTTTAGATCGCTCTCCTGACCAAACAATGAGGACAACATTTCCCAGATGGCGGCTACCCCCTATATATTGGGGCCAAATCCGTTAAAAAAAAAAAAGGTATGTTTATTCGGAGAAAGTACGTTTTTGTGTCTGATTTCGTTACTTGCCCTAATTAATTTACATAGTTGCGGTCACTGCCTCGAGTCATTAGTCCTAAAACGCGAAGATCCAATCAATATATCAAATGTTATTCAGTGTGGTCCAGTTTTTTTTTTTTTTTTTGCGCACTGTACATCTTTAAATTAAGAACACAAACCATCATATTTATTGAAGAAAACTACTACTTTTAAAATCGATGTTACTAAAAAATGGTATGGAACGAATATTATGAACAAGTAGAATTTACCGAGGCGGTTGAAACGAAAAGTGCAGTTTCTACGTAATTAAATTCTCTAATTTTCGTTCGTCAGTCAATTTAAATTTTAAATCAGATAAATAAAAACCAAGAATTATTTCATGATGAATAAGAAGCTTTAATATTAGTTTTAAATAAATAATCCCAAGACACCGTAGAGGTAGGATATTACCTGATTAGAAACATCATTCGCTTCCAAAATATAATTCGTACTTATATATTTTTGAAGCGAAGTTTTTATCAGATGATATTTCAATATTAATAATTTTTTTCAACAATTTCATTCCGGCATACATATTTGCTATAATCTTATGAAAGCAAAATGTTTTGTTACACAAAAATTCAGTTGTCAATTTAATAGCAAATTTATATTTAAATGTAGTAATAGGGGAGAGTCGGGTAGCCCCGCCCACTTAAGTAGTATTGCTTATATTTCTGTATAATATTGAGTAATAATCAATATTTTTGTATGTTTCTATTGTTTTACCATCTAATTATATAATGCAAAAAGAATAAACCAAAAAAAGAATAGCTTAACTTTAAAAAATAGAAATTTAAAAAATCATGTTTTTCAGCTCTTTTTAAAATGTGTCGGGTAGCCCCGCCCAGTTACAAAAATTATGCTTTTTGACTGTTTTTTCAGGTGTAAATGAAAGTGACCAATGTATTGACAATAGATAAACCTCATTTATCATTTTTATCACAAAATTATTTTATTTATTACATATTTATATACTTTTAGTGAATTCTATCATTTAATAACAACAATATTTGTTGTTAAAAATGCATATAACATTCAAATTTGAAGCAATAAAATAATAATCTTTGCAACCGTACATTTATCGACGAAATAAAATTGGGCGGTGATACCCGACATTCATGTGAGCGGGGCTACCCGAAATCCAATTTTTTTGTAAATTTGTAATTACTCGAACAATTTTTCACATATAAACTTCTTTCTTTGTGCAAATTAAACTTAAGACTACATACTTTAATGCTGTATGTATAGAAAAAATTATTTTTTTAGTATTAAAATGAAGTTTAATCGAAACATTCAACCAATTTTTCTTAATTTCATGACAACTGTATTCAACATATTTTCAAAACTATTGTTTACCATGTTACCAGCTGCATAAATACTTGAAACTTTTTTCAATATACCAATTAATGTCCGATGGCCCATTGACTTGAAAAAATATTCTATACCTATGAAATTGACTGTGGGCGGGGCGGGGGTACCCGCTGGGCGGGGCTACCCGACTCTCCCCTACATGTTTTTAGAATCCTTGTTACAAAAATATACACTTTAGGGTTCGCAAATTGTTAGTGAGTATAGGACAAATAAAAGACGCTACTGTTTGTCTGAAATAAGAACTCCTCCAGACATTCGTCTGGACCTGTGGCTGTGACTATGGTAACGAGATATGACTATTTTAAGTAGGGATGCGGGGTCACTGTTTTGGAGTGGTTTCGGCGGGAGAAAGGGAATCTTTTTCTTTGGTCTATTGTGTTAGTACTAGGGTGAAGCCACCCTTCCTAAAATGAGCCATTCTTGTTTCCGTAGCACCAGACGGCCTCAAGATTTGTGACGGGAGGAGTTCTTAGCTTAGACAGACTATACCTAAATCCACCAAATCCCTATTTACAAAAAAGGGATAAAGAACATCAAAACCTGGTTGATTGCACGAGGAAACAAAAAAAAAGGAAAGAAAGTAATTGTTAGAAACCCCTTCAACTGGCGAAAACAAATATATATATTTAATCCTGCTTAAATCAATTGTGATTCGCTACATTTAATAAACATTTTCTCCTTGAATTAGGTATAATTTTGTGATCCCTAATATATGTATAACAATAATTAGAGCTGCATTAATGCATTTTTTAGAATCCTAATCTAAACTGAAGTTTAAAAGGTATGTATATTTGGGGTCTCATGTTAATATTCTAAAGCGAAAAAAAATTAGCATTATCGAAATCGGACTGGACAGTATTGAGAAGGAGGGCGTGCAGAACATGAAAACCTATTTGATTGAAGATTGGAACTTAAAAGGTGTTTTTAAAAATCGTCTTTGTTTTTCAATTCGTCGCGCAATCAAACGGGTTTTAATATTTTGTACATGCTCCTATGTTGACTGTGGTCCTCTAGATTTCGAAAGCATTTTGATTCCATCCTTCTTTAGATATTAATTTAGGACCACAATATGCATAGTTTTTTGTCTTCATTTGTTATAAGGATTCTACAAACATATTTTCGGTTTTTACGAATCCCTCTGTATTTATGCTGTGTATTATGTTTTCTATGCAATATCAAAGCAGTATGGCAACTTGTGGCCCATTAAATAAGCTTATTGTTGTTGCTTAATAATGAAATATTAAAAGTTGCTCATTTTATCCAACAAAACATAACATTAAGTAGATAAATGATCATATGAGTTTTCATTCTATACAAACAAGTCGCAAAACTTAAATAAAACAAAGCAATTGAGAGGAATGAAAAGTTTTGATATTTTTAAATTTCGATGACAATGTATCTAGACAGGAGGACATTTGATAATAACCAAATAAATTTTTGAAGACTATTCAAGGAAATATTGAAACTAAATCAAGTGAAATTTTATGTGAGTAGATTAACATCAAGCCATGATAAAATCGATGATAAGAAATTTACAGCGTGAGCTCAAGATTATTATGGAAACCGCTGCAAAATAATTAAAAAATGATGTAGTAACATGGCAGTGAAAGATTTAATATGGGTTTTGACTGCAATGCTGGGCTTACAACGAATTTCTCAGGTTGTTTATAAAGCCTTGGGACAATAAATTCCACTTCATAAATGAAGCTCCATTCAGGCAATTTTTAGCCCCTAGACAGATAGTAGTGTATTGAAAATGCTCTGCTGCCAGGAGCATACGGTACATAATTAATGAAATTCATGTCGGGAGATATGGTGGTCACTCCATTCTCTGATTATCTTTGGATTCAAGATATTCCGTTACCAGCTCTATCCTATGTGGTCGCGTGCATTCTTCCGAAAGATGAATTAGTGATTAACGTTTTTTTTAAAAAAAAAACATAGGAGCTCTTAAGATCTCAGCCCTATATTTCAGAGAAGTAATAATGTCCATAAAAGACCTGCAGGCATGTGCAATGTCATGCCGGTCTAGACCATAACATCTTAACCTCTATAGTGGGCAATCTTCCATTATGTTGGAAGGTGGTACCGGATCCTTGGTTTTCTCTACGAGTGAACACGTCGAGAATAAACTTTCAGACTAAATTGAAGTTTATCGGTAAAGGAAATATAGACCAAGTGCACCTGTATTGAAGGTTATTGTCTGTACCAGTTTAGGCGGAGTTTCCTGTGGCCTGGAGAGTAGAAAGTACCCTGCCTTCTCTGAGGTAAAGGGCTGAGATCTTAGAGCCCTTAATAAGATATTTCTGAGATTCCAGTTTATTTTTATGAATGACAACACGTGCAAACACAAGGCTACGTTGGACGAGAAATACTCTGAAACCGGAGATTTTCAAAGAATGGAATAGCCAGCAGATTTTCAGTTCTGATCTCAAATATCATACGTGAATTGTTCTGTACAGAGCATTTGCTCCACACCAACCCATCTCAGTGCTAAAAATTGCCTTAATGGAATGATATTCATTGTCCCAAAAACAGTATGAGAGTTCGTTGCAAAACAACCTCCATTGCGGCGTAGAGTAGCAATATCTCAATATGAAAACCTCCACAAATGCTATTACATAGAAATATTTTTTTGAAACTATTGGGCTTCAGTTAATGACACAAAAAGTAGAAATGACCGATTTAAAAAATGTATATATGTGTTTCAAAGAATCAGTATTTATGTAACCAATAATACTAACCAATACAATTCCTAGGCCCTGCAGAAAATGGTACGTATCCATAAGGGTGTCGTTTCAAACTATTTTCTGGCAAGAATCTTTCTGGATCAAATACTTCAGGATTGGGGAAAATTTTAGGATTCCTGTGTAGTGCTAGGATGTTACAGTGCATTGTAGTACCTTTAGGGATCTTTCGACCTTCTAAAAAAATAGTAAAACACCAATTATTTTTAATTTGGTTATGGTTAGGAGGCACACATAAAGCTCTCTACTTAGATTGAGTAAAATAATAGAAATTCTTCCATGCTTAATTTAAAGAGCTTAAATTTAAACTGAAGCACTGTGCTAGATGACAACATAAGTTTTAATCATTTTCTTACGGTTACGAGTAGAATTCATAACAAAGCTGCATTTATTGTCATTAGAAATTAAACTTTTTCCACCCAGCTGGAATGTTGAAGTCCGTTCTTGGAAGGCCCTGTTGTCAAATAAAACTGCCTTTTTTAGTAATATGCTGCTTTTACAAACGTAATGAGTTTGTATCAAATTATTCAAGGCAGATAAGTTAAGTCTATTTTCAGTCAACCTTTTACGCACTGATTAGGAAAATGGTACAAGAAACAAATATGAACTAAAGCCTCAGTTTTTTTGAAAACGAAAAAGCGTTTGTATTCTAAATTTTCCAGACTTGATAAGTTTTAAACCAATATTTTATGGTTTGCACTCATAAAATTATTCCAAAATTGAAACTTATTTATCACTAATTATTGTAAAATTATTCATTGATAAATTGAAACTGAGAGAGAAAAAACTTTTCCAAGGCGATTTTTTTTAAAAAAAGTTTAATAATATTTTTTTAAAATATAGTTAAGATATTTGTTTGATTTAAAGCCTAGTAAGTTTTTCTAAACAAGAAAGTGTTAATAGTTCGACATTGAAGCATAGTTTCAGAATTAAAGCACTCAAAAGGTGTTTTTTCTACCTTAATGAAAGAAACACTCTTTATTAAAGTGCAGCTTTTACGAGCGAAAGTCATTGCTATTTATTGTCAAAAGCCATACTGTTTTGTTAATATTTTTCTCAATTTTTCGATTAGTTGAAATCTTTGTGCTTGATGACAATGCAAGTTTTCGTTTCCTGACCGTTGCAAACAGAATTTTATCTATTTTTAATCGACAAATAAAGTTTTCGTCAATCAAAATTTCTATCATTTTTCAATTAGTTAGAGTGCCTAGATTTCAACTGGAGCTCTGTGCCTGAAGACAATTCAAGTCATAATTATTTTCTAAGCAGTTCAACCAAATCTCTTCGCCAACAAAATATCGTTTACTTTCTGATTTAAATAAATATAGGAGACACAAAACTAAAAACAATAAAATAATAAAATAAAATTTTTAAAAATTACATTTTTCATTCATCAATAAAACTTTTAAAAACTACGTTTTCTTAAGTAGTCTTTCAGACTACTAAAAAGGAGAAAATAATGTCGGTGGGAGGAGTTTCAGTGAGGATCGAAGTTTATTACAAAAGTTATTGTCTTTACGATTTTTGTTTCAGGTCTCAACAGAAAAAAAAAATATCTCCTTTTTAGTCTACTTGAAAAAGTAGTTTTCAAATGTTTTATTTTATTTTGTTATCTAACGTGCTCATATTAGGTGCTCTTTGAAACTGGAAATATATTTAAACACTGTTGAGTCATACTGTATATTACTAAGATAATATATGGAATTCTTACTGTAAAAAATATCTTCATTAAGCTTTCTACCAATTACAGGGACTGACGGGAACAATCTTTGGCTTTCCTGAAATAATTTGGGAAAAGTATAATAAAATCAGAAAAAGCAAAGACATATGCACATTTCTTAATGTTAATTTACGTAACTATAAGGACTACCCAAATGAAAAGTGGACACAACTATAGAAACACAGCTGTGAAGGCAGCACTATACCCTTCAGAGTTATAAAGAAAAGTAAGATACATATGCCCCGTACACTTAACTGATTAATAATAGTTCACATAACAGCATTTAATGTGGATGTAAAGCCGATTTGAGAAGGATGAGTCCAGAATAGAACAACGATCTTTAGAGGCAGAAGGTTATAACACTCTACATTTACTCAGCTCAGATGATGTACTACACATCATGAGTTGTATCTTTTCGATTTCTTTTAATTATGTTTCAACAACAGCCGCAATGGATTTATGGATGATTATGTTGTTTGTTTGCTTGGGTCTTGGCTGATCTCGTATTCATGTACGCTCTTCGTGAAAACTTTTACACCATTAGTTCACAACTATTTTATTGTAGACTAGTGGATGCCTGTAAGTAGAGAGGACGAAGATCGCTGATATCAGATGGTTACATAAACAAGAAAGCGTGTTAACGTTACAGTTATTAGACTTGGTTTATTATCACGCTTAATACGTTGAATGTCACGCTAATTTTACATGGCTTGCCCGTCTGGCCAAAATGATTCTCAGTATGTATTGCATTAATTTCTTCAAACCATTTCAGTATTCAGTTCATAATATAAAAAAATTAAAAGCATCAAAAATTTACTCGAATTATGTGTTTCTAATAATCTTGGCTTTGCCGGTCACCGGTGACCCCGTGGAGCTCCGAACAAACTCAGTCACCGGTGACCCTCATGGCATTCAACATGTTAGTCAACTTTCGAATCAGATTTAGTTGTGTACCGGGAGGCGACGTCAAGCGTGGTGGTTGGGTTGTTGAATCAGCCACTTTTCTTATGTCACGTTTCAACTACCAATTAAGTTCAACACCCAGGAATGACGTCACTTGCAGGTACCCAATTTTGCGATAAACAATAAAACAGTCGGTGATAAATGTTCGTATTATACTAGTCTTCTGTCACTGTAAGTAGTACTATAGCACGTTGCTCTGTTCCAGAAGCATCCATATTTACAAAAGTTAACATTAATTTCAAATGCTCTTGTGGGAACTGGCTAATCGGCATCTCTTTGCTTACTTTAATTTGTAATCCTAAAGAGTGACGGTGCTATCACAATTAAGCATGAACGTTTCGTTTGGTTAACCTTTACAACATTATTGAAATTGAAAAAGATTAAAAAACGTCACTGTATTGTTTCTCAGCATTTAAAAAAAAATTAAAAATATAAATAAAAATAAAAAGATAGAGAGAGATAGAAGTTTGAGAAAATACATGAGGAAAACATTAAGTTTTTCTTAAAGCCGCTTCATTATAACAAGCTCCAAAATTAAAAACATTTTAAATTTGTACATTTTGCAAGTGAAAAAAATGCTTGTTCCATTGTATTTGAATTTTGAATTGAGTGCGATTCATTGAATTTGAATTTAAATGTGATTTTACGTTATTATCTTAAGCTCCACAAAAAAACTATGGACTTTTTTGGCAGCCACACATTGACTTGAACTATTTAAAGAGTAAATTAAATCATTTCTTTTTTGTTAAACTGACTAGTGAGACACACGCTTTGGAAAAAAAAGGAATTCTGATTGAAAATATCATAACAGAATAATTTATGTTTAATATTACATAACATAAATATTGTATACCACAACTTCAATGCGAAAAAAAAAATTCTTCAAACCTACTGTGTTTTGCGCTCTTTACAATGGTAATGATCAAGCAGGGTAAAGTTGCAATTTAAAAAAAAAGGTGAGTTTATGTCTGCTTTTTTGACATGGAGTTTAAACATATATGCGAAAAGCATACTGACCTTTAGAACACATTCCAAATATTTCATATTCCTAACATCATCCATTGTTATACTTCTTTCAGAGTTTTCACCAAAAATAGAGTCAAGCTCTTCATAAATCTTTTTCTGAATTTCTGGATAAAGGCCAATGCAGTACAGTGAGAAAATGATTCCCATGGCTGTGGTATCATGACCCTGAAAAAAATGATGTTTTCATTTATTTAATCACAGCTTCCATTTAAATAAATAATCCCAAGAAACTGTAGGCTGTAAGATCTTGCTTGATTAAAAACTTCATTCGCATCGAAAATATACAAATTGGAAATAATAGTCGACATGTTTCAATCACCCGAAAACAGGAGCCCATTTTCAAGACTTGCCAGGTGAGAATGAGAAAAAACAAAAGTAATTTGAAATGTAAAACGTGAAGTTACCAACGAAAACTGGAATGCCGTCAACAAAGGAATCAGCATTCATGTAAGTAAAACAAGATGTCTTGTTTTATTTTTGATGACTGATTCAAGATGTCTTGTTTTACATTTTGGGTTGGCAACTTTACGTTTTACATTTAAAATCACTTTTTTTTCTTCTCATTCATGTCTGACAAGTCTTGAAAACGCGTGGCTGATTTCTTTTTTTTTTTCTTTTTTTTTGGGGGGGGGGGAGCTTGACGCATGTCGACTGTTGTTTTCAATTTGTATCTTTTTAAAACGCAAGTTTTTAGTCAAGTAACACAGATTATAGTATTTTTTTTATCTGATAATTGCAGATAAAAAATTGCATTTACATACATTTCTGAAATGTAAAGGTGTTTATTTCTTTGTAATTCAATTAAGTTTACAAAGCTGCGAAGATATTCAATGTATTTAGACCTTATAGAACTAAGTAATTAAAATATGATCAAAATAAGATGCTAGTAATTTAGGAATTTTCTTTGCGCGCATTGTAAAAATCTTATTCAAGATAATTTGCTATAAACCAACTTGTTATTTAGAGCCGATTTCTGGAAAGAATAAAAATTTCCGTAAAGTAGTAACATTGTGTAATAACATTAGAAAATTTGGAGCGATTCAAAATTTATTTTTCGGATCATCGATTGTGTACGAGCCAACTTTTTCCATTGCAAACGGCTTTTTAAAAGACCTGGTGAATTATATTTATGCATCTGAACCATGACGCTGCATACCATTAACTGCTTTATACCATAATGTTACATACCAAAATAAAACATATTGTTTTATATCATAACTTGTTTTTAAGCACGGAAATGCTAAATTTCATTAAGTTTTTTAATTTTATCAGAAAGTGGAGAATCAGGTTTGATGCGATTTGTTTCATTATAAATTTCTAGGCACAGTTTCAAGCTGCAAGAAAAATGCATGCGTAAGTTCGGATATCAAAGCTATTAAACTCATTCTTTAAGGAACATTTGACTAAATTAAATAACAAACAAATCGCACTAAAATTAGTTAACAACATTCAATAAAATTTGTGATAAAAAATCACATTTTAATTTTAATGATATATAAAATAAATGAGGTTTAAAGCATGATTTGTAAGAGTCTGAAAACCTTCAAAACTGTCGAGAAATGAACTTTCTATAAAAAATATTTGAAAATAAGCTTTAATACTTGAAACTTAAAAAGCTTAATTTATAAATTTGATCTGTTTGAAATTGTATCGAGCATTTTAAACTCATGCTATCATAAAATTCTCTAGGTTGAAACGATTGAAGATCATCTTTTCATCACCAATTCACGAATGCCATCAAAATTGCAATCAAAATAAAAGAACCCAGCACAGTAAAAATTATCAAGATTACTTAAATAAAGTGGCTAGGGCATGTATTTCGATAAAAATCCTGATAAAAAAATAACCTTCCAAACAAAAAAAGAAGAGGAGGAAGACCTAGAACAAGATGGTTAGATAGAGTAGAGACGTGGTTAACGGACTTGGGAGTCAATCAGATGGAGAAATATAGCACGTTACCCAAAGAGAAAGCTACGCGAACTTATTCACAAATTTTGTAATGACCACAAATGCGTTAGCCAAGGAGGTTTTCACCACGGGAGATTCTCCCCACGTTCCTTCTGTCTTCGATCTAGTTTCTTCATGCAATGGGAAAAGCAATTAAAATTCAATCGCCAACTTCTATCCTCTTCCTCGGTACCAAAAGAGAAAGCTACGTGAACCTATTTTCAAATTCAATAATGACTACCAATGAGTTTGCCAAGGAGTTAGTCTACACAGGAGGTTTATCTCACATACTTATTGCCAACAATCGATGAGAAAATTTGTTTCTTTTTAAAACTCCTTCCCACTTTTTTCCCTACATAAATCACTCTCTCATCTTCTGGTCTTCCAAAACCAAAACTCGGTAACCAAACTAAAGTTCTAATAAATTTCCTATTGATCAGTAGCGTCCAAATTGGTTTCTTTGGTCGAGTATGAAAAGGGTCCTCCCTTCTGACGGTGGGTCAAATAATCCTCATATCATGATCGAAGAGGGACATATTTTTCCCAGAAACTTTCTTTTTATAAAGGCCTTAAGATGATCCTGTCGATGGGCCAGCTCCCATCCTCCACTATCCTATGCAAATCTCCGAAACTGAATCGTCCGAGGATTTAGGATGTAATGAACATGCTTACTTAACAAACATTACCAGACATCCCTCCCCCTTGCTAGGAAAAAAAAAGTTTTATTTGGTCTTAGGGTAGTTGTTGTTGTTGTAGTTCATTTACGTCGCACTAGAGCTCCACAATTGGCTATTGGTGACGGTCTGGGAAACATCCCCTGAGGATGATCCGATGACATGCTATCGCAATTTTGATCCTCGGCAGAGGGGATGGCAGCCCAACGACCTGCGCGCTTAGTCGAGCATTTTACGGTAGAACAGTTTAACAATGACCGCACACCTTCGGTCCCAATGCAGACTGATCCAAGTGGTCATCCACCCGCATACTGACCACATCCAGTGACGCTTGACTTCAGTGATCTGCTATAAACCGTGCCTTAACGATTACTCAACTGCGGGACGGTTTTAGGGTAGTTTTTTTCAATTACACGTTTACTGATTCCAGATTTTCGCAAGCTCTCTTATTAAAATTAATAAAATAAGTAAAAGCGTTATATTTAATCTTAGGATAAATAATATAATTCACTGAGCAGTATATAGTTTCCACTCTAATGCTAAAAAATGTGAAAAGTCGATTTTTTTTAAAACCGTGGCAAAATGGCTAAAATTTCCAATTTCAACCAAAGGTGAACAGCGCCTCAGTGCGGAAATATGTTAAACTACCAACTGGACATGAATTTGTCGTTTTCTCTCATGACTTTTAATTGGATACCTAGAAGTGACGTCACGCGTTTTCGTTAAACATGATTAGCTGCTGAATCATGGCACTTGTTTATACTATACCATGGTCCGACATCCATGCGTGACGTCACTTGCTGGTGCCTAACTAAATCTGATCTGAAAATTGATTCAGCGGGATAATGAAACAAGTCTAATAGCTGTATCGTTAACACACTGTCTTGTTTATACACAACCATCTGATTTCAGTGTCTTCATCTCGAGTAGCAGATACCCAACTGAATTTATGTAATTATCATTTATTGTTCGATTATTTGCTTCATTTTAATTCCATAAAATGTTTGTATGTTTTTTTTAAAGGATTTCGTGTAAATTTTATGAAAAATATGTGCATTTTTTTAAGCGTTAAAAGTAAATTAGTATTTGATGTAAATATTTCACCTCAATTTTCTTACTCTTAAATTTATTTTTATGTTGACGTAATATATATTTATATGTATGACTGTTATCTTCAAATAGGAGAATAAATAGAGATATATTTACTACACAAATGCATTTCAATCAATTATTGATATAGATTTTTATCTTTTCTGTTTATAGTAGAATTTTTTATTCAACAAAATTGAAAGAAAATTTTTAAAAAAATAAGCTGTAGTAAACAAAAATATGATAGAGACACTAAATGATGTTTTGTAGAATGCCAACTATTGAATTACACAGCATGAACTAACTCTTTCCTAAAAGCTTTGCCAGAGGGCTCTATTGCGAGTAGGTCGAAAAGATTTGAAAAATGCATTGTAATGACATTGCAGGAGAAGATCCTTTAGTATTATTCGTATGATATAATTATACAACTTATTCAATAAAGATTAACATACTTTTCCTCACCTATATTCTTAAAAAAGTGTTCTATACGTTTCTGAATGATCTTACAAATTTCAACTACCATTTATATACATTTGCTAACCATTTTATACCATATTTAAAAATACCATATAGAGATGTCTAAGTTGATGTCGCTTCACTTACCTGTCCACAGGAAATCCATAGATAATCAGTCAATTACGCATGAAACTAATAAAAATACGTTTCTATTGACTTAGGAATACAAATTGTCCAATAGGAATAGTGCAAATGAAAATTGATTGAATGATAGTTGAACTTTGATCTAGTTCAGCCTCTGACTTGGATATCTCCATATTAGGTTTTGTTATAGATAATCTGACAACTTAATTTATAATTGTGTATTTGCTACTCGAGAAGAAGAATACATGATCAGACCCAACCATGAGATTTAAATCACATGGTTGAGTCTAAAAAAGTGGTTGTGCTGGATGGTTTAACGTTAAAGCAATTAGGCTTGGTAAACTAGTATACTATCACACTGAATCAATTTTCAATAAGATTTAATTGGATACATAGGAGCGATGTCGCTTGTGTGTGTCGAACTTGATTGGTTTCTGAATCGTGGCTTTAAAGAATGCCACGCTTGCAGGTATCCAATTTTAAATATGCTACAGGCTTGGCCAAAATAATTTAAAAGTTCGCAACGCAAAAATATTTGTAAAAATTTTTTAAATACACTAGAATGAAGTTCTTATGTTCAGAAAAATTTGTAAGATGAAACCATTCAACAAATTATCAATTCGAAAGAGACTACTCTCCTGACAAAAAATATCATGTTTAATTATATTTAATTGATTTACACGTTTTTGAAAATTTATGGAGAATAGTTCATTATGTTTATTTGTGTTAAACCTACACATTATTCGCAATCTATAAGTCAATGACTACAACTTTTGGTTTTAAGCTTTCAGTGTATACCAAAGGACTACACGCACTTATAAATAGCAATTAATTAACAAAAAAATTCTTTTTTTTCCCTTTAGAAATCTTTTCAGTAACAAAAAATTTTAAGAAAGTTCTAATTTCCAGTTATTTTTTTAATTTTTTGTTATCACAACACTTTTATATAAAATCATAATTAAATCACCTCGAACATGAACGTATCGACTTCTTCTTGAATTCCTTCTTCTGTTATCTGTTCACCTTGAAGATGCAAATCTAAAAGCAAATCCATGAAAGATTTTCTCTTTTTTATTTGAAATTCGTCATCTTTTTTAGCCGAATCATTCACAATTGGTTGTGAAAGCATCGCTTTCTTTTTCTCCTTTATAACCTATAAAAAAAATCAATTAAAAAGGTATCAAAAAAATTTTTTTTTACTATGATTATTTTTACATAAGGGTAAAACTACGAGTTTGATGCATGAATTTTAATGCACGGAAGTGGCGCATCAATTCGTTTACTATGGTCCGTCTACGGAATCTATCTATCTATGTATATATTTCTCTTACACGGCGATAAAAAAAAAACCTCATTACAACTCCCCGAATGGCAACGCTAGAAAATAGACCAATGATTACAGCTAAAAATGTCACATGCCAAATCTAGCTATGATGGCTCAACATATAGCGCTCTTAAAAACGGAAACTGAAATAACCAGGGGGAGCATAAGCTAGGCAGAAGTCTTTGTCGATAGATCTCGATTTTGGTTTTTTGTCGAAAGCGTTTTTTTTCACGAATTTATGTATTAAGAATTTATTTGACAATTTTTGATTTATATCACGAATTTATTTGTTTTACTAGAATTTATTTGTTTATGCAGGTTTTTCCATTGCAATTCACTTATTTAAATTTTTAATAGACTTAATTATAGCCGAAATTTTAATCTTTTTAAAGAGATATCAGTTTTAGAAATTTTATCTTAAGATTTTATACTATAGCACATTTCTAATAGATTTAACGAATTACATGTCATTTATTTGAATTCAAATTTATTTTAAGGACTCAGTACTTACTAAAAAGATGTAATTTTTTTTAGAAAAAAAAGTTGTTATATGGATTTGAATGATTGTTTTGAATTCTTAGAATTTTGTGCATTTGCAATGTACCTAAGTTAGTAGCGAGCGAAGCGAGCTTGGTTTGCGGAGCAAACCATATAACATTGCGTAGCAATTTTCGGGGGTTGGCGAGCGTTAGCGAGCAGGGGGCGCAGCCCACTAGTATTTTATAAAACGCTAATACGTACGTATGTATGTATGTATCAATAAAACCGATGATATTTCTTTTCTCGCGCTGGCAACAGTTTTCATTTTTAATTGATTGGATTCGGCGCGCAAGAGCACGTAGTGAGCAACCAGATAACAATAACCAGAGTGAGCATTATCAGGTTGTTCAATTCAGATTCATGCACTAAAAACATGACAATATTTAATTTAAACTCAATTAGGAATTAATTAATTAATTGAAGTGAGAATGCTTTAAAAGGCCGCTGTTGAATTGATATTTTTCTACTGGGAGCTACCTAAACGTCTAAAAAACGTTTAAGTGTTTGTATTGAATGCATTGAATTTTTTTATATTTCGCGTTTATTTATGCATTGAATTTTCACGCTTTAAAATGCAGAATATTAGTGAAGCAATATTTGATAATTTATTTTGCTAATATGTTTCTTATTTAGCTAATGTTTTGATTTTTTCACCATGTACAATCTAAATAGCTAATATACTTTTTTAAAAGCCAATAAGAACATTGGTAGAATTCTTCTACATAAGTACAATACTATGTCTTTGATGATAAAATACTATGTCTTTGATGATAATATATTATGTCTTTGTGCTAGAACATTGTGTTCATTGGCGAGCGAGCGCAGCGAGCCATGGTTCACGGCGTGAACCACATAGGATTGCGTAGCAATTCTCGGGGGTTGGCGAGCGTTAGCGAGCAGGGGGCGGAGCCTCCTAGTATTATATAAAACGCTAATACGTATGTATCAATAAAACCGATGATATTTCTTTTCTCGGGTTGGCAACAGTTTTAATCTTTAATTGATAGGCTTCGGAGTGCAAAAGCACGTAGTGAGCATCATATGGCTAATCTATATTATACAAAACGCTTATACGTTTTAATTGATAGGCTTCGGCGCGCAAGAGCACGTAGTGAGCATATCATATGTCTAATCGAGTGAATTCTCACCGAATTATCAGAAAAGGTCTCACAAAATTATCTTCATCGAAGCCGATGCTTTACATCCGGCTTTCAGTACTATTTCATATCGTTTCACAGCACATGGTTTTAGCCCTCTGGTGGGAAAGACTTTAAAACGAAACTTACAAAAGTTACTTTCTCAACAACTGAAATTTAGAATAGTGTGATTAAGAAAAATACGTGAACTGTTTACTGTTTGCAATTTCAAATTAATATTGAAATGCACAAGTTTAGAATTTTCTACTGTTAAAGTTTTCGGAACTTCAGTGTTCAAAAAAGTATACAAAACCTAGACGTTAAGAACATATCCAATGCGCGAGCAAAGCGAGCATCGGATTGCGAAGCAATCCGAAATGAACTGCGAAAGCAGTTCCGGGGGTTGGCGAGCGCCATCGAGCAGGGGGCGAAGCCTCCTAGTATCAATATATTATGCAAATAAAATGAATAAATCAAAAATTTTTAATTATTTAATAGCTACCGTTACAATCGAAAGCAAAGGGTGAGATAAAAGGGTTACTACCCCCAATGAAGTTACAAAATATCTAAAATTTTAGCAAGTAATATAGAGTAGAAAAAGATTTGTGTGTTTATTTTCCCTCATATTTTTATAGTTCTTTCAGATTCGAGATGTCTAAGCAGATGTGGTATTGGTCCTCGTTAAACTGTTCTACCGTAAAGAGCTCGACTTCGCGTGCAGGTCGTTGGGTTACCGAAACAGGGGTGCCATCCACTCTGCAGAGGATTAAAATTGTGATGGCTTGTCTTCGGAGCATCCTCAGGGATGTTTCCCAGACCGTCGCCAATAGCCCATTGTGCAGCTCTAGTCGAATAAGACTCTTCGTAATAAAATAATTTTGTTATTACACAACTTATCATCGTCTTTGATCTCGAAAGTGATTGGTTAGTGCGATCATTAGAAAAGCAGGTATGAAAATAAGTAGAAAAGAGGCCAAGAATGGAATGGAAGAAATCGAATTTTTTTAGAAGTTGCTTTTATCAAAACTACAATGTATTACATTAAATTGCTTATAAAATGGAATGATGCATATTTGAAAAAATTGAAAATTTATTTTTCGAAGCATATGTCATAAATTACCTTCTTCGTAAAACTATGCAATATATCAAGATCTTTGTTAAATCCTCTTCCTGTGCTGCTGAAATTAAACATACAATCCGACCATAACCAAGGGGTTATTGTTCGTTTGTTGAAAAAATCAGCTAAGCTGTGAAAAAAAAATATTAATAAAATAAATAAACATGAATGCATACGTAAATATATTATACATAACATAATCGCATACATATCTTGATAAAAAATATAAACTGAAATGTGTATATTACTTGTGAATAGCATTAACGTAATCGGTATTTTCTCCTTGTTGCGCCCCTATACGGTAACCCATCATCGTTTCTAGAATCAAAGATGAAGAACAAGAAGCATTTTAAAAACACCATTATAATGAATGAATGAAAAACATTGAAAAGATATACGAAAAACTCTTAAAAAGACAAGAATGAAAACACATAGAAAAGATATACGAAAAACTCTTGAAAAGACATACGAAAAATTCTTAAAAAGACAAGAATGAAAAAACATTGAAAAGATATACGAAAATCTCTTAAAAAGACAAGAAGGAAAACCATTGAAAAGATATACGGAAAACTCTTAAAAATGACAAGAATGAAAAAACATTGAAAAAATATAAGAAAAACTCTTAGAAAGACAAAAAAAAAAAAATTTAAAAATATACGCAACAATTCTTAAAAAGTTAAAAATAAAGCACATTACAAATCATTCTTTAAATTTGAATATTACAATATATATAACCTAAAAAATAGAGGATTTTGTAGTATTTGCAGTTTTTCAAAAGTATAGTTATAGTTCGTTCCCCAGGAGTTGGCACTTGGCTTCGCCTTCATCACGTGGTATGAGACGATACTATCTCGCTATTTTTGGGAGAAAGATATGAACAATTCTAAACAAGGTTGCTATTTGGTGATCGTATGACAAATATTTAATTCACAAACTTTGTATACATTTTTTAACATTAAATATTTCCTAAATTTGATGATATTTCGACATTTTTATGATTTTCACTTCTGAGTGAATGGTTTGCCCTTTTTGAGACACTTTTCTGGGAAACTCGCAATTCTTAAATTTAAAATATAGTTAATTAGCTAAAGAAACGAAAGGTATAATAGCAGAAGCGAAGTAAGTGACTGAAAAAGAATTCACTGTTTGTATTTGGTACGCATTAAGGGTTGTCTCAATTTCAAGCGCGGTATTGTTTCTCCTCCTACTCCCGCTCTAAAATGAACTATGCATCCGAGGAGGTGGAGCCAAGTGCCAACTCCTGGTGAATGAATATATATTATTTTGAAACAAAATCTTTGCTTTTAATAAAGTTATACGGTCTAGTCCAGATTATAATATTTACCAGAATTAGGCTGTTGCTTAAATTTTCTAAAAACAAAAAATTTATTTACACTTACCACAAACGATATCCAGAGTACAGTTTATTATTAAAGGAACAATATCAACGAATTTTTCATCAATTAATGAATGTAATTTCTTCACTAAAATCATAGATTGGTCGTTGAAGGCTGGTAAGAAATCATCTAAGACGCGGAAATGGAAAGAAGGAGTAAGAATCTTACGTCTCGAACGCCATTTTGGTCCAGTACTAAAATAGAATTGACATCATTTGACTTTCATCAATTGACATTCTGACATCATTTTATGCTTTATTTTATAACCGTCGTTGAACAGCCGACCCAATTTTGGGTTTACGACTACTAATGTTCAACTCTGTACCCTCGTAATTTCGAACCCAATCCAGAAGAAAAGGAAACTCCTGGATTAAGGTATTGGGAGAAATTTGCCTTCGTGGAGGACTTTTTGATGGAACTNTTACAGGGAACTAACCTGCATTTGCGTTACATGGAGAGGAAGACCACGAGAACCTCCCACGGTTAGCCTGACGGCAAGGAGACTCTAACCCATAATCTTTCTACCACTGAGGATATTTCACGTCAGGACTGTGATCGTTGCAAGCCGGATGCGGAATTCGTATTGAACAGTCGTAGCTGGGATTCGAACCCGGTTCACCTCATTGGAAGACGAAAGCTCTATCCCCTGAGCCATCGTGACATCATTGTTAAAATTGACAACTAGTAAATTTCTCAAGTATGAAAGGATACTGGGACTTCAAAACAATCGTACAGTAAATCGCTCAGAAATTATCGTAAGTAAATCATACGGAAATGATTCATACTGCGGCTCTTCCCACCCATCAAGGAAAGGGGAGCGTGTGCTACTCGGAAACATTCCGCGTAGTACACGTAATGTGTGCTACATGTAACATACGTAGCACATGTAATATAAGTTACCGCTAAGGCTTGAAAGCCGTTAATATACCTCCCAATGAGATGAACAGAGTCCGAATCCCAGCGAAGGATGGTTAAAACGAATTCCTCGCCGACTACAGTGCTGACGTAAAATATCCTTAGTGACAAACGGATTAAGAGTTAAATTCCTCTTGCCGATAGGCTAACTATGGGAGGTTTTTGTGGTTTTCTTCTCTGTGTAACGCAAATACGGGTTAGTTCCCTCTAAAAATTCTCTACGAAGGCAAATTTTAATGCTTGATTCAGGAGTTTCCTTGTTTTCTGGAGTGGGTTCAAATTGACAAGGCTACGGAGTTGAACATTCTATAAAAGTTAATACAATATGAAAGTCAACAAAATATAAAAGTCTGAAGAGATATAAAAAAAAATTTGAGAACTGTTATATGATATTAGGGGATCGTTTTATATTGTTAACAAGTAAAATTACTTTTATTACTTCTCACTGTGCCGCATTTTCTGTATTCCTAAGTTTAAATATTATTTTTTTCAAGCATAGATGATTATTTTTGAAATTTAGGTAAAAAAGTTGCGTAATGTTTATATGATTCATAAATCAAATGAACTTTTTTATTCAATTTTAAAAAGGGCAAAAAAAACTAATGAGCGGTATGAACAGGAGATGGAACATCCTATTATTGACAAATATGTAAATTATTTTAAATTTATCTTAAGTTAATGTAGACGGAAATTATGCATTTATCAAAATTTATTATTTCTAACAAAATATTCTTAAATTTTCATAAGAATAAAAAATATTTAAATTTCAATGATCTCAAACTTTATTATTAAATTTTCTGAAAATCATAACGTGGTAGTGACATAGTCACTTTTAAGAATATTTACTGTACAGGGAGGAGGCCAGGTAAGCGTGAAAAAAAGGCGGTGAAATTTGCCGTCAAAGTCAGGGCAGTCGCCAGAGGTAGTTGGGCGACAAGAGCAATCGTGGCCCTGTCGTTCTTTATTTCTTTTAAGGTTTTTTGACCAATGATCTGCGGGTGGGGATCAAGGTAGCACCCTCGTTGAAGAAGGGACCCGACCAATAAAAAGGGGACCGAGGTTTCCTAAAGAGGAACAAGATGGAAAAAGAGATGAAGAAGGTGGCTAACTTGATGTAGCGAAAGGAAGACGTGAAGGAATATCGGCTAAGTACCCGAGATGTATGGTGAGAGTGTTCTTAATTAGTGTTTTCTCTTGTTGATTTGCTAGGTCTCCTCCTCAATACCTCCCTTTAAATATCCTTATAATTCATAGAAATTAATAATTTTTATACTAATAATATGCATTTAATTTAAAACTGAATAAAATGTACTTTTTTATTTAATGAATATAAGTTGTCTCCTCTGGATTCTTGGTCACATTACTTCAGTCCTAATCAGACCGAACTAGGGTTAGGATTAATCTAAATTATCTATTGGAGAATTATAGACAATTAATTCTCAGTTTCACAATAAATGTTGTAAATCTATTTGTAGTGATTGGCTCACCGCTAGAGGGCGAGTTAATCTCTAACCCAATTAAAGAATTAAGAGAAAGAGAGATGAAGAGGAGCCGGCGCGTAGGCTGGTCTTTCCTCTATGAGAATATCTTTTGATATTTCTGTATTTTGGCCGCTGAGGACCCTTAATATTTTCATAATTGTTTTGTTTATTTGTTTTAAAGATTAATAAATATATATTTTGTTGCTGTTACATTAGTGAATATCTTTCAAAATCACTATGCACAAGACACTATTTGATCACCTTAAATAGCCACGACACATAATTTATTTCTTCATAAAATATTCCATTTTTGTCAAGTATTCACCTAATCACAATAATGCTATTGATTTAGTCCCAGACAAAAAAATTTGTGTACTTAGAAGCTGTTGGCATGATCTATTTTACTGTTTTTCTTTTCACCTCTCTAACTGCACGCTGCAGTTTGCTTGCATATTGTGGAATTAAAGTAGAAATAAATAAAGTAAATCTAAGATCATATCTAAATTCAAATTGGAAATTGGAGTTACTAACGTTACTCTTTCAAGTTTGCTGTAGCATATATATATATATGTTGTCTCAATTTCAAGCGCGGNATGCTACTTTTACTTAAAGTGAAAAATAAAAAAAAGTCATTAATTCTACTTTTACTTTGTAGAGTTCGCTAGATCAGACCTGCTGATCGGAATACCGGACTTGCGACCTCTCATCCTGATATTCTTTCTGCTGTCAGAAATTAACTGCAACTGATTGCAGGATACTGATGTCATAATTATTCATCGATATATATGTATCTGTAAAACCACAAAACTACTACTTCTCAGTGTTACACACTATTTTGAATTTTAATTTATTTTTAAGTTAGTCACGCAGTTTTTGTGACTATATCATTTTTCCGGAAAATAAAATTTTTATTTTTTTCTTCTGATTGTTTTGATGTTGTCTTTGGTTCCGTAAAAGTGTAAGAACGCTATGCCTCGTTTCTACAACTTAAAGTTAAAAAATAAAAAAAAATCATTAATGATACTTTAGTAAAAAAAAATCATTAATGCTACTTTTACTTAAAGTAAAAAAAAAATCACTAATGCTACTTTTACTTAAAGTGAAAAATAAAAAAAAGTCATTAATTCTACTTTTACTTTGTAGAGTTCGCTAGATCAGACCTGCTGATCGGAATACCGGACTTGCGACCTCTCATCCTGATATTCTTTCTGCTGTCAGAAATTAACTGCAACTGATTGCAGGATACTGATGTCATAATTATTCATCGATATATATGTATCTGTAAAACCACAAAACTACTACTTCTCAGTGTTACACACTATTTTGAATTTTAATTTATTTTTAAGTTAGTCACGCAGTTTTTGTGACTATATCATTTTTCCGGAAAATAAAATTTTTATTTTTTTCTTCTGATTGTTTTGATGTTGTCTTTGGTTCCGTAAAAGTGTAAGAACGCTATGCCTCGTTTCTACAACTTAAAGTTAAAAAATAAAAAAAAATCATTAATGATACTTTAGTAAAAAAAAATCATTAATGCTACTTTTACTTAAAGTAAAAAAAAAATCACTAATGCTACTTTTACTTAAAGTGAAAAATAAAAAAAAGTCATTAATTCTACTTTTACTTTGTAGAGTTCGCTAGATCAGACCTGCTGATCGGAATACCGGACTTGCGACCTCTCATCCTGATATTCTTTCTGCTGTCAGAAATTAACTGCAACTGATTGCAGGATACTGATGTCATAATTATTCATCGATATATATGTATCTGTAAAACCACAAAACTACTACTTCTCAGTGTTACACACTATTTTGAATTTTAATTTATTTTTAAGTTAGTCACGCAGTTTTTGTGACTATATCATTTTTCCGGAAAATAAAATTTTTATTTTTTTCTTCTGATTGTTTTGATGTTGTCTTTGGTTCCGTAAAAGTGTAAGAACGCTATGCCTCGTTTCTACAACTTAAAGTTAAAAAATAAAAAAAAATCATTAATGATACTTTAGTAAAAAAAAATCATTAATGCTACTTTTACTTAAAGTAAAAAAAAAAAAATCACTAATGCTACTTTTACTTAAAGTGAAAAATAAAAAAAATCATTAATTCTACTTTTACTTAAAGTAGAATGAAAAAGAAAAGATACCGTTTATCGTCCTTAAAAAAAAAAAAAAAAAAAAAAAAAAAAAANAAAAAAAAAAAAAAAAAAAAAAAAAAAAAAAAAAAAAAAAAAAAAAAAAAAAACGAAATTAGATAACGCAGTTTTTAGCAATAAGAATAAATTTGGGTGGTTTTTGTCATTGTAAATATTCCTGCAAGATAAGAGGAAGATTATTATGATTGTATCATTGCAAACATTACAAAGTACTTTTAAGCATTACGTATATAAAATTAACATCGTTAAATTGAAAGATCTCTATTTTTATTTATATGCATTTTATTTTTAAATTGTTTAAAATCTTGCTCGGATTTTAAGACCATCACTTTCGCATTCTTTTAAAAATTTATTTATTTTTTCAATCATAATCCTTGTTTCATTGTTTCGTTCACAATCAAAATGAAATAAAAATTATTATCATGCTTAGATAAAAACACAAACTGTTCTTTAAACTCGTGATGGTTTGTAAAGTAAAAAAAGTTATACATATAATTCACAGCTGTAGCGCTTGCACTTCTTTAGAGATTCCACTATGTGATACATTTTGATGAACCAGAAAATGATCAATCTCTAATTCAGTGCCCCCAGAGAAATTTATTTGTTATGGGAACTTAGAGGACTTTGTGACCCCGACAGATTT